TATATATATGTGTGTGTGTGTGTATTGACACATTTCCCTTTTTTGTAGCCCTTTACCTACTTTTTGCAAACTATCCTGCATTAGCAGATAGTATCCTGCCGTTATATTATGAATAATTCATTAATGACTAAATTCACAAAACCATGCAATAAGGGCTCTACTGAAAATAGGCTTTACATGGAGCTTAGTTGTTTTATTCTGCATCAGTGGGAAATGCTTTGTTACTTTATGTCAGCAGATGGTGATATTTTCCCACACATTTTTCTACTTGATGACCAAAATTTTAAGTCTTGTTGAAATAAATAAGCCTAAATCTGTATGTATATCTACAACTACTATATTTTTTGTTGAAAGTTAATTATGGATTTTAGTTTCTGCTGTTTCACACCATTATCTGTCATACAATGTTGAGAAAAAGGCAATCATTCCAAAACCCTAAATATCATGTAGCCTTTTATAATGTCTTGATTTAGTTTTTATAACATGATTTTATATTGAAAGTTGAAGAAAATAGCTTCTAGCCTTTTGTTGATGGGCTGCGCAGTGGAGCAGTTTGTAGCACTGCTGTCTTGCAGCAAGCCAGCCTGGGTTTGATTGCCAGGGCAGTTTCTCTCTGCATAGAGTTTGCAAGTTCTCCCTTGCATGCTTGGGTTCTCTCCGGGTACTCCAGCTTCCTTCCACAGTCCCCAAAAAGTGACTGTTAGGTCAATTGCGGTCTCTAAAATTGCCCTTAGGGGTGAGTGTGTGTGCATGGTTGTATGTCCCTTTGCTGCCCTCGTATGGACTAGCGACCTGTCCAGGGTCTACACTGCCTTTTTCCTTCGGCCTGCTGAGGATAGGCACTATCCCTGACATGTGCAGCAGGAAAAGATGGACTTTGTTGATGCAAAGTATGAACCGCTTTAAATATAAAAATAGTTTTGTTGTTTGCTCTTTATAAAACAAAATAGCTCTTGCAATGCAAAGCTCCCATCCAGGCAGGAAACAAAGTCCAGTGGATTGTTGTTTTAAAGTTTTTTGGAATGATTATGACCTGGATGACTGAAAATCTTCACCAGTATATGCTCTTGCAATGGTTAGTGACACTGATAATATTGTGTATAAATTTCAAATAACGTTGTTGCAGTGTTTTGAAGACACACACACACAGGCATAATTTTTATTCTGATTTCTCTAAGGTAGAAGTCTTCAGTACTGCAGGGGCGTCGCAAAATGTTTCCAGTATTTGATGAAAAGAGCATCTGCATCCAAACAGATGCAGTGTTGTTTTTACTCTAATAAATTATGTTCTGTCTGGATATTAAATGAAGGCTTCTTGCTTTGAGAGAAGTCCAGAAAAAAAATTGATCTCCGGCTGAAATGTTTCAAGTTTAAATGATTTTAGAGATAGGATTATTGTGTAGTGTATTAGTATTGTAGTGTAGTATTGGGTATTTTAGGTCTTCTAGCTGCAAGACCTAAAATAGTTGAGAGTTTCAGTGGATGGAACTTACAATGCTTCAGTATACCAGGACATTTTGGAAAATTTCAAATATCCAAAATTTCAAGGAACAATTTTCGAATGCTCTTCCGATAGTAATTCAAATGAGTACATAAAACCAGATTTAAGAAGACATGGATGAGCAAACTGGTTGTAAAAGAACTGACCTGCACAGAACCATGGCCTCTGCTTGAGAGAACAGCTTCAGGATAAAGGATAATGCAGCCTATGAGGCAGGCCATTTTGAACAACTATACCTGACCTCATGAATTCTTCCCTAAAACAATAGTCAGGCACATTAAAGAGCCAGGTAGACCTATCCAGAGGAACTGAAAATATGTTGTGATGATAAAGGGTATACCAACTTCACAGTATGATAAGATGTAATCTAAATTAACGTGTGTTGGAAGACAAGTTACTAGTAATTTAATCAATATAGTATATGTTTTATTAACTGTATCTATGCTAGGAGCAAAATACAAATTATAATATAGGATTGCTATGGAATTTAAATCCCATATCAAAGAGGTTTCTAGAATTTCCCTCTTTCATCTGCGCAATATTGCAAAAAATAAAAAATAAAGTGTCCAAGAGTGATGCTGAGAAACTAGTCCATGCATTTGTTACTTCAAAGGCTGGACTATTGTAATTCTTTACTATCAGGAAGTCCACAAACTGTAGTTAAAAGCCTTCAGCTGATCCAAAATGCTGCAGCCAGAGTTCTG